AAAAGACTTGCAAAAGAGCAGAGGCTTGGGTGCTCAGATGGGACAAGAATAAGCCTCTGGACTGTCTTCCCAGACCTGAACCCTGACTTGACTTCTGAGTCAAGAGGAAGCTGCTGGCAAGAGATGAGGCCTTACCTCAGACAAGAAGGTCTGGCACCCAAACTAGGAACACTCCCACTCTGCTTTCCTCCTCATGTTCATGGTTCCACAGCCAACACGGAGGTCTTTTTCTCTATCCTCAGCCATCAGGAATTTTTGGGCTAGGTCCCTGACTCCTTTCAGATTTCCTCTACATGCTCCTTCACACTCTGGAAAGGACGAGGGCTATCTTCCTCTGTTCCTGGCCTCTCTTCTTCCTGCCTGCTCCCCACTCCACAGGAGGGAGCTGACATTGGCTTGAAAGAAGTAAAGTCAACATCTGCTGCTTTCCTCTGGAGTCTGGTGATTCAGAAAGCCAATTGGGGAGAGTCAACAGGAAAAAAGAGGGAGGAGGAAAAGCCACAAGAGACATTCTGTACAATTCCAAGGAACAGAGAAGCCTTTAGACAGGCAACTGCCATCCCCCTGAAACCTGAGACTTCGTGGTGCACTTACCCGCCCTCAGGTGCTGGTGAAACAGAGCTGCTCCAGGCCTGCTGGGTATGGGTTTCCCAACTCGCACCACACACCAGGAGCAAAGCCAGGTGCCCAATTCTCTGGAGCCAGGGGCCCCCGGCTGGCTAGAGCTGGAATAGCAGAGAAAACTGGATAGCCCAGGCAGTCTTTTTTCTCATCTCTCAGGCCTCACACACTTTTGAGCCCTCCATAAACTACAGAGAAGAGAAAGGATTGCTGCTTGATGGTGGAAAACCTTTCACCTTATCAGCTTTGGGAAGCAACAGCCCCATGGAGTCTGAATGAGTGGGGTCTGCATTGAGGAGGAAGCTAAAGTGAGTGGCAGGAGGTCTCTGGGGAGCAAGCCCTTCCTGCTCAGCACTGGTTGTTTAGCTCCTAGGAAAATGGTTTGTGGGCAACTCCAGTAGCATTTTGTAGGGCTTCTCTGGTAGAATCACTTTTCCAGCCCCAGCCTGATGTTTACTAGAAATTCTCAAGTTAATTTCTATCTTTGGATCACCCCCACTCCCTCCCATTTTTTGGTCATGGCCAGTTAAGATAAGATGGCCAGTTATATTTCTTTGTAATCAAGACGTTGGATACCAAAGTCAGTTATCTGTCTCCAGGGTGTAGCACCCATTTAGAGCTGAGAAGAGAGGAGACCTGATCAGGCATCTGACCAGCAGACACAGAACCTGGCCTTCGGGGCTGTTTTTGAGTTCGTATTTATTTTGGCATGTCTCTGGCCTTTTGCAGAGGGCATTGTCTATGTTTTACAGCATGATAGACAGTACATCAGATGGCCAGAACAAATAAAGTTCAGTGTTAAATGACTTCCAGCTCTATTTGAGTTCCCTAGGATATAGACTTCCCAGGAATGGTGAGAGGTTATTCTTGGTTCCCCTGAAGTGAGAACTCATACGACTGAGACCCTGTGAAAACTTGAAATGTTTTCTGTGATTCTCCCACTGGGGATGTGCTCTAACCTCCTGTGTAAAATGTATGGGTTTGGGAAGCACATAGGCCTAGATTGAAGCCCCAGGTCTGCCATTTATTAGCTAGTGGCCTTGGGCAAGTCATAACTACCCCAAGGCTCAGATAACAACAGGCTGTGTGATAGAGTATTTAAGAATGAAAACAGACTTGGGTTTAAATCTAAGCTGTACTACTTAAAACTTGTTTGACCTTGAACAGATTTAACTTCTCTAAGTCTTGGCTTTCTTGTCTTTAAACTTATTAGGGTTGTGAGTATTAAATGAGATAATTTAAGTAAAGTGAGCCTATGGTAAATCCTCATAAATGGTCACTATTGTTATGCAAATATTTTATTATTAAATAATCTACCCTACCATGTGTTGTGAAGATAAAATGAGAAGTATACTGAAGCATCAGGTAATTTCACAGACCCTGAAGATTTGTTTCTTCTGTGTGCTATTGTCTCCTCTCACTAACTCTTATCCTGTGCCTCCTTCCCTTTGAAATAAGCCCCCATGCCCACTAAGGTGAGAATTAGCTAATTAACTTAGGTTGTAATGGTAGAAATCAAATCTACTTTATTTTCGTAGACAACAAGGGTTCTTCTAGTACCCTAAACAAACATGTGCACCTCAACAGTGGCCTTCTAGAGACCATGTCTCTGCCTCTATTATCTAACCCTGAGAATGGTGGCCTGTTTGGCCTATTAGGCAGGGACAATTATTTTGTGGCAAGCTGATGAGTTATTTTGTGGTAGGAGTCCATGGTGGCCCTCAGTGTACTTCATATAGGCAATATGCTTAATCAGCTTTTTTTGTTGTTGTTAGATAGAGTGGGAGGGAGAGAGAGGAAGAGAGAGAGAAACATCGACGTGAAAGGGACACATCGAGTGGCTGCCTCCCGCGTGACTCAACCAGGGCTGGGGACAAACTGCAACCAAGGTACATGCCCTTAGTGGGAACTGAACCCAGGTCTCTCTGGACTGCAGGCTGACACTCTAACTGCTGGAACCGAACCCGGGTCTCTCTGGACTGCAGGCTGACGCTCTAACCGCTGAGCCAAACCAGCCAGGGCGTTAATCAGCTTTTATGGAGCATACTGTTTATGGGGCTGAGACTAAGGCCATGGTTATGTAGACAGATTTTTCCCTTTTTATCCAAGCCAGCTTCCAAAGGGAGATGAATTTCCTTGAGGATAAGTTTATTAATTCTTTAGCCATATGATTAAAAGAGCACTTTAAAAAAATTAATTTATTGCCCTGGCCAGTTTGGCTCAGCAGTTGGAGCGCCGGCCTGCGGTACAGAAAAACCCGGGTTCGGTTCCCGCTAAGGGCACGTACCTCGGTTGCAGTTTGTCCCCGGCCCTGGTTGGTCGTGCGGGTGGCGGTCACTCGATGTGTCCCTTCACATCGATGTTTCTCTCTCTCTCTCTCTTCCTCTCTCTCCCTCCCACTCTATCTGAACAAAAAATGGAAAAATGTCCTCAGGTGAGGATAAAAAAAAAAAAAATTAATTTATTAAAAAAATTTTTTTTTAGTTGTAACCATTTTTATTTTATTTTATTTATTTTTAAAATATATTTTTCTCCACTTTTTCTTAGTTTATTTTTGTTATAGATGTTTCTCCTTTCCCCCCCTAGACACCCTCATCCCCATCCCTTTTTAAATATGTTTTTATTGATTTTTTTTTAGAGAGAGAGAGAGAAATATTGATGTGAGAAACATCCATTGCCTGCCTCCTGCATGCCCCCTACTGGGGATCAAGCCCACAACCCCGGCATGTGCCGGGACCAGTAATCAAACTGGGACCTCTCAGTCTATGAGATGACATTCAATCCACTGAACCACACCAGCTGGGCTAAAAGAGCACTTTCTTTATTCTTATCCATCTCGAGATCCCTCTCCTCTCTATCCCTCAGTTTCAGAATGGGACTTTCCTTTCTTTTTTCCAGAATGGGGCTTTCTCTAACTCCAATCTATAGCTATTCTTCAGTAAGCCTGTTACCTCTTCCTTTGGAGCAGATCCAGTTTGAAAAACAACAGACTCTCTCCAGACACACTTGTTCCTTCCTTTCTTCTCATTGTTGTGCCTTCATTTCTTCATTCTGTCATGCAGTCACTTATCAGACATTAAGCACCTAATATGTGCCAGGAGATGAAAATAATATACAATACAACTCCTACCATCAAAGAACCCGGTCTAGTAGGGAAAACAGACATGTAAACAAATACTAACAACTAGATAGGTAGTTGCTGTATGACATAGCGGAATTAGAAATGTATTACACACAATTTGGCACACTTTTATGGGGTGTGTGGGGCAAAGGGGAGGTGGCAGGGTAGTAAGGGAAAACTTTATAGAAAAAAATAAAATTGGCTTGAGGGATCATCAGGTGTGAGAGGAGACATTCCAGGGAGGATTAATCACCAGTCTAGAAAGAAACTGTAGTAGATTAGAATCACCTGAGCATTGAGCTGTGACAGTCGTGGGAGATGAGACTGGAGAAGGGAGGGTGCAGCTCCCGATGAGCCTTATAAACCACGTTAAGGACTTTGAGCTGCATCCATAAGGCTTTTTCACACGTTTGAAAGGGCTTGCGAGGGCCCCGCGGTAGACCAGTTGGCTGGGACTGACTTCCAACCAGAATTGCCGAGTTTGAGTTTTAAGAGCAGAATTTTTTTTTTCCCCCTAAAGAACGGGGAGGGGGTGGTATGTGCTTAAAATAAAATTTTTCTCCTCTCCCTCTGCCCTTCTCTCATTTACAGGTACTTTAGGAGGTTAAACTTGATCCCTGTTCCCTCAAGCTTTGTTCCCCAGGTTGCGGCGAGTCATGCACCATCCACACGACAATCTCCTCCCATTTCCAAACTGTTCCCTTCAAATCCTCTTTTGAGCCTGGGTTTTTGGCCGAGGAATGGGGTTAGGAAGCAGAGGTAAACTAAGTTGGCCAAAAGTTTCTGGATCTAATGAAAGCGTCGTCACCAGTGTTGAAATGCGACAGTTGGCAAGAGCGGGGTGCAGGGAGAGAAGCGGGACCTGCCCGCCTCCTGCGGCGGCGCTCGGAGGGGCGGGGCTGAGGCAGGGTTGGGGGCGGAGCTGCGCCTGGAACCGCGGGCGGGGCGGGGCGGGGCGGGGCCGGGGGAGGAGTTTCAGCCGAAGCCAGCCGGGTTCCGTCGACGATTGAACAGGTCGGAGCTGGGGGCGGGTTCGGTGTTGGGAGGGCGGGATTTGAGACCAAGCCCTCGTCGCAGACGAAGACTGCAGACTTTTTGCCTCTGCAACGGCGGAGTGGGGCCGGGCCAGGGGCGGGGTTTTAAGCCCAGTCCCTGGATTCTTGTCTCTGATTGAGCGGGGCGGGCCCTGGGGGGCGGGTCCGGCTCTGCTTTTGACAGCTTTCTTTCCCTCGGCAGCAACTGAGTTCAGTGGGTTCGGGAATCCGTGGCCCCTCTCTCCGCGCGTCCCCGTCCCCGCCGTGGCCCCGGCCATGAAGCGCATCTTCTCCTGCTCCAGCTCACAGGTGGCGGTAGGTGCCAGAATATCTGGGAGTATGGGTATGGGGCTAGGGTCTAAGCCCTGTGGTGACACAAGTCCTGGGTCCCACGCCAGGCACCATTTGCCTTTTCTCTTTATTGGCCTTTCCAGCTCTTCCTTTCCCGCAATGCAGCCCGCCAGTCCTGCCTTCCTCAAGACACTGTCCCCCAGCCTCCAGCTAACCTCTGACTTCCCCAAGGTTCTTTCCCCTGCCCTTTCTTGTCCTCCTATCACCTACACTCTCAACTTTCTATGTTTCCTGCAGTCCTTGCCCCCTCCTGAAGGCTTTGTCCTTTTTACCTTTGCTCAGTGTATCCGTGCTAAACCATCTCCAAGCATTTTCCCTGTCCCAGCCCCAGCTCAGCCCTAAGTTCCTTTCTGTTTCCTGCCCCACAATCCCATTTTGCAGCCCTGTACTGTTCTCACAACCCTCCCCTCCATATGGTCCTGTTCTTGCTGTTTTCTCTCAGCCTAAGAAGTACTCCCAGGCCTGTACCTTACCCTAGCCCTTTAGAGTCTTCTCTATCCTTGCACCTATCTCACCCATGCCACTTCCCCGCCCATTTTCTCATTATCACTAGCTCTCAGATATCGCTCCAAACCCCTTTCTAACTGGTGCTCCCACAACAGCAGCCTTCTCCTGTTCTCCCCTTCAACTTCTGCCCATCTCTGCTCAGTGGTTGTTCAACCCCACTTTTCCCCCTTTTGTCCCAACCTGCCTACTCTCGGTGGGTTAATCTTACCATCTGGCGAGCCTGAAGGCATTGCCAGAGAAGGCGCATTTGCCTGGCTGCTTCCCACGGACCTAGCTAAGGTATCTGCAGAATTCACCCTTTCTAATTCACTGCAATGTCTGGTCATCAGACTGGTTGTTGGGAGAGTCAAGGCCTTCTACCTGCTTCTCCCTAGAAGCTTCCTTTATTCTAAACCCTCACCCAGTTCTTTAGCATTTATACTCTCTGCTTCCTTTGACTGAGTTGGGGAAAGGTGGTGATGAGAAGAGGAGAATGGATTCAGTCTGAGAATTCCCAGCAGAAGTCACTCTATTCCCCATGTTCTCCCAGAGCAAAACACAAGGAAGATTACAGAAGGTGGTGGCTTAGGGAGGGTATAGTTTCTTCTCTGACGATCTCTTACAGAGAGACCAATCTGTGGATGACATTTTCTGCAGAGAATGGAATTATGTATTGAAGTTGCTTAGCCTAAACTGACTTACTGACGTCATTCCTAAGCAAACATGAGAAATGTTTGGTGCACTCTGCATGGGCAGGCCACAGAAGCCTACAAGCGCCGTGAGGCAATAACAGGAACTCTGTTGAGGCCTGTCCTTGTCCCACTTACATTTGCTTCGCCCCTTAGTTTCTACACATTGACCAAACAATCAAATGGCATTCACTGACTGACTATGATGAGTACCAGAAATGGAGGCTACCCAGACTCTGTGTTAACTCATAATGGTTTTCTTATTCACATGGACTCTTCCCTGGTTACTGAAAATCCTCCTCATTGCTCTTCCCATTCAGATTTGTGGAGTCTGCATGTTCCTTCTACCTGATTCTCCAACCCTTGGTCAGTGCCTCCTTTCCAAGATGCTAGGGTGGGCAATAGATTGGATGTTAGAATTTGAAAGTATTCCTCTGTCCTTCATCCCAGCTGTACAAAGTTTTGTCCATGAAGAATTTCTACCCATTCTAAACTCTTCTTAGTATAACAAGATTATAGGAAGTAAGTTGGGTGGATTTAGAACTGTCAAGCTGGAAGGAAACTGTTTTGTCAGTCAGGCTGGGATCACAAAAAGCTTGATAATAGGTGAGTTTCAGTTGCAAATTGTTTCCTCATAAAACTTCCTCATACTTCTTTTTTTTTATCCTCATCCGAGGACATTTTTTTAAATTTTTTGTTCAGATAGAGTGGGAAGGAGAGAGAGGAAGAGAGAGAGAGAAACATCGACGTGAAAGGGACACATCGAGTGGCTGCCACCAGGGCCGGGGACAAACTGTAACCAAGGTACGCGCCCTTAGCGGGAATCAAACCCAGGTCTCTCTGGACCGCAGGCCAACGCTCTAACCGCTGAGCCAAACTGGCCAGGGCCCTCATACTTCTTAAGATAAATTTCTTCACACTCTGAATAGCTAATTACTCTGGACCCATTCATCAGAGACAACCTTCCTGGCCACTCCCAAAGCCTGGCTTCCCGGTCACACTGGAAGATTCTGTGCCTATCCCCACTCCCTACCCCTGGGTCCTGAAAAATCACTGATCATTTTATTTTAGTTTAAGATTTTTAAATTAATTTTTAGAGAGAGAGGAAGGGAGAGGGAGAGAGAGAAACATTAATGCACCCTCCTTCCCCCCCCACTACTGGGAATCAAGCCCACAACCCAGGCATGTGTCCTGATTGAGAATCAACTGGTGACCTCTTGGCCACACCTGCCAGGGCCTGATAATTTTTAAAAATTTTATTCTTTGTTAATCCTCACCTGAGGGTATTTTTTCCATTGATTTTTAGAGAGAGTGGAAGGGAGGGAGGAAGGGAGGAGAGAGAGAGAGAGAGAGAGAGAGAGAGAGAGAAACATCAGTGTGAGAGAGACACATAGATTGGTTGCCTCCTGCACATGCCCCAACCAGACCAGGGATGGAACCCGAAACCCAGGTACATGTCATTGACCCGGAATCAAACCCAAGGGAAACCCTTCAGTGTGTGGGCCAATGCTCTAACCACTGAGTCATACCAGCCAGGGTCAGGGCCTGATCATTTTAAAATTAATCTAAGTTATTCAGAATATAGGAAATTCAACAAATAGACAAAAACCCAGCTTTTATAATCTCATTTTATTTTAGTCAAGTAAAGGATGCCTTTGAAGGAAGTAGACCAGAAAATAGCTTTACACAGTTGGAACTAAATCAGCTTAGAGAAATATAAATTGCATGTTAAAAATTGAGTCAGCTCCTGGTTCCTTCAGCCTTTCCATTTCCATTCACCTGTCCTACAGCCACTCTTCCTGTACCTTTGGTGTTCTCCATCTTGACAGGAAGCTTATTGGCACCCAGCCGGAGATAAGGAGAAATTGCAATTACCTTTACAAAGGCCCCCTCGTATTAACTACGGAAATACAAAGCTTATTGTTGAATTTGAATCTGCTGACTAATTTGGTAATTGCTCCCTTGAGGCTGTGATGGTAATCCAGTGCCTGTTTCCCAAGGTGCTGGGTGAGCAGGGGACTGGAATTTAGTAGCATATTTCTGACTTTTTCCACCCTAACTCTGCAGGAGTTTGGTCATGAAGAATTTCCACCTATTCTAAATTCTTCTTACTATAACAAGATTATAGGAAGTGAATCAGTAGATTTAGAACTATCGAGCTGGAAAGGAAAGTGTCTACTTTGCTAGGAAACACCTTTACCATCTCTACAGCCTGGCTGTTAAGCATTGGCTGATATGAGTAAGATCCCTTCCTCCTACTCCCCTGTATGGATAATTCTGAGCCCAGGAACATCTAAAATGTGCCCAACAAGTCTAGAAAGGATGGGGATTGGAACTAACATTTATTGTGTGCCTACTATGTGACAGACACAGAGCTAGGTGCTTTCTATGATGTTGTATCATTTAGAAACTGATGTTCTGAGAAGTTTGTACATGCCTAAATTCACAAGGCTAGAACGTTAGAATCGGGATTTTATTTTATTTTATTTATTTATTTATTTATTTATTTATTTATTTATTTATTTATTTTGTATTTTATTTTTGTTACAGATGTTTCTCCTTTTTTACCCCATTGACACCCTCCTCCCCATCCTCCCCACCCCGTCCTCGGCTTTGTTGTCCATGTCCATTGGTTATGCGTACATGCATATAAGTTCTCTGGTTGATTTCTTCCCTCCCCCACCATCCTCTCTTCTGAGGGTTGTCAGTCTGTACCCTACTTCCATGTTTCTGGGTCTACCCTATTCCTCAGACTGTTATGTTCATTATATTCCACAAGAATCAGGATTTTAAACAGAGGACTTGACATTGAGGTCAGCTGATGGCAGTGTCCTGTGCTGGAGGCATAGTTCTAGTTCTCTGCCTTTTCTGAGGGTGACCTGGCACCCAAGAGACATTGGATAACGTGTTCTCACATCTCAGTCTGTCGGTATGTGGAGCCGTCATTTTGCTTATTTTGTCCTTTGAGAATTAACCTGTTTGGAGACTCTCTGTGCAGAAAAGTAGCGTCTGAGAGTGGGTGGCTTTGCCCTGGAGGCAGTCTTAGACTGTTCATTTGGAAATAAGTAAAATGTCTTTTTATCGCTCTGTAGTCGTGTGCTCTGGTGGTGAGAACTAGTATAGGGCACCAGGTGGCCTGGGTTCTAATCTCAATTTTCCTACCATTTTCTGGTGCGTCTCTGCACAGTTATTTAACCTCCATGTGCTTCAGTTACTTCTGTCAAATAGATAAAATAATATCAGCCCTAATTACTTCCCAGGGATGTTGAGAAGCTGGTTGAAATAGCACTCGAAAGGGCTATGAGGAATTACAAATGCTGTACTGGAGTCTTACCTCAGAATCCATCTACCCTCGATAATTTTATTGTTGGGGCATTTAAAATCTTTCCTGTTTTTGATGAATAACTTGCCCTGGCTATGTAAACAGTATTTGAAAATGAGTTATTTGGCTTCCATTGACTCCATATTTTTTCCACCTCTTCCCATAACCTCTTCCGTGTTGAGATTACACCTCATAAAATGCCATGTGCTACCACCAATCCCCCATCACTTCCTGTTTTGTTGTAAGGATGCCATACACTTGTACAGCTCTTCACCATTTACAAAGAGATTTTATATACATTAGTTCATTTAATACTCACTACAGGAGGTAGTTATTATTTCCCGCATTTTATAGATGAGGAAACAGGTTAGAGGTGTTTAATGGCTTAGTCTGGGTCACACAGCTGAGAAAGGAGCTGAACTAGACCCTGAACTCAGGCCTGCTGATGAAGCATCCTTTCTTCCTCTTTTTCCCTTTCCTTTCCCTTCTCTGGGTCAAACCAGGCTTTTCTGTGGTATTTTTACACAGCTCTCTCTTTCACACCCTGTGATACTTCAATTATTGTAATTACTCCATCAGCTGGGAAAAGTCAAGCTGGAATGATAGAACAATGCATGTCCAGGTGTGGCTTTATCTGGGACAGCTGCTCCCTGCTAGGAAAAGAGGAGGGAGGGAAGGGAGGAGAAGGGGAGAGGCCTCTTGCTGCCTCCTCAAACCTAGCTAGAGACCTGTATTTGCCTTTTGGCTGTTACTCCTGTGGAAGGGAAGAGTAACTAGGTAATGGGCAAAGCTATAAGCTGGGGAAACAGAAACTCTGTGTTTCTCCTCCCAGTTTTGGGGCCCAATGCTGATGGGTAGAGAAGGTATGGCTAGGTATTTGCACTCGTGGCTGTGACCTGAAGCAAGGTGCCTTGATTTCTCAAATATCTGCCGACAAAAAGCAGAGCAGCAGGGGAAGCTGGGAGGTAACGTGAGCCCAATCAGGAGTGGTCAGTTTGGTTCAGTTTGCTCAGCAAAACCTAGAGAGCAAAAGGGAAAGGAGTCATGGCTAGGATTGCTCTGAGATTGTGCACCTAACAACAATCATCATAATGATGACTCAAAAGACGTTTGAAATACTCTGCATCTAGCACTCAAAAATGAGTTTTCATTTAGCACCTTTTGATCCAGGGCTGGAAATAACCATAAGTAGTTCTTGGTGGCAGAGAATAGGTGACTATTGAACTGTCCTCCTAAGAAGGACTATATGCTAGGCTGAGTGACTTGTGGAACGCGGAATGGACCTCAGGGATGCTCCATCCCCCTTGCGCGGCATTTCCTAACCATCTCCTTCTTTCTTTTCTCCATCCACCCCCACCTAAATCACACAATGTGGGGCTCTGAACCAGGTGGAGAGATGGAACCGCCGTGATCAGAAGCTGCTGGAGGCAGTGCAGCGGGGGGACGTGGGGCGCGTGGCTGCCCTGGCCTCCAGAAAGTCTGCTCGACCCACCAAGCTAGACTCAAATGGCCAGTCCCCGTAAGTCAGTCCCCCTGACCCCCTCTTTGGTATGTGATTCTCTTTGAAAACTCCCAATACCAATATGTTATAGGACCAGGGAATGCCTACACCTCCAGAGCCCCTTTTGTCTTCATAAATCTTTGCTACATATCGAGTGCAGCACAGAGTGAGAAAAGAAGATACTGTCCCTGAGCTCCATCCACCTCACAACCCACATCGACAAAACTGACTAAAAAAGGACATAAAGCCCATGAAACAAACAGAAAAGTGATATGTAAACTGAATCGAGTATTTCTTCATTGCGCAAAGAGGAGGGTGTGTGCACTCGGGAAATTCAGAATGAAGTGATAGCCGCAAGAGTCACATGTCTAGAAGGAGTAAGTAGGACAAGAGGGATATTACCCTTTGTCTCTGCCCTGGTCAGCCCTGTGCTCTGGTCTGGCTGACTCTTTCTGTGACACTTCCAGTCTGGTAAGCGTCCTGGACACCCCTGCAGTCGTCTGAGATTGCTTCCAGCTTCCCAGACTTTATGATAGTCGGCCATATAGCCTCCTCTTTCTCAGTGAGTCAGGCCAGGAGAGTTTTCCTCTCTGCTTTTGGGATTGGCTTTGGGGTTAGAGAGTATAGCAGGCAGTGATGATTAAGGTTATTAAGATTCTCCCGTTCCTCAGCCCCTGGTCCCTTCCTCCTCCTGCAGGTTTCATCTGGCAGCCTCCAAAGGCCTGACAGAATGTCTGACCATACTGCTTGCAAACGGGGCTGACATCAACAGCAAGAATGAGGACGGTGAGTCCGACTGGGCCGTGCAGCGGCAGTGGGGGCCAGTCCTGGGCCCTGCTGGAGGTCCCCACTGCAGCCCCCAGCTTCTTTTCTCATAAAGTCTGGCCAGCATCCTTCCAGAGGTTCCCCTCCCTGCAAGCTGGGTATACTTCACCCACCTCCCACCTCCACCCCGTGTACCAGCTGCTTGGGGAACAGGAATTTCTGGCCCCACATGGCTGAGAGCTTCTCTCTCTAATCTCCCTTTGATTATCTGTGCGTCTCTTGCCTTCCCTCCCTGTGAGTCATTGGTATGCTTAGGGCCACCTACCTCTCTTCCCCCTCTTTCTCTTTCCAGGAAGCACCGCCCTGCACTTGGCCACCATCTCCTGCCAGCCACAATGTGTCAAGGTCCTGCTCCAGGTACGAGCAACCCTTTGATACTACTCCTGTGAAGGGAAGAAGCAGACCCAGAGTCTCCTAACTTTGTCTTGAAGTCACAAGCAATATTTGATCAAATATACCACTCTCATCCCCAGTAAGAGAGCTGGTAATAATTTATCCTTTAATTCACAAACATTCATCTGACACCTACTATGTGCAGACACCACACTTAATGCCGCCCTTGAGGGCAGGTCATAAAACAGAGTTGCCAGGGACTGACTGCCGTTGGCAGAGCCACTTCGGAGACTAGCAGCTGTGATGATGATGGGCAGGCAGAAGGAGGGCAGAGATTTTCAAATTAAACCGAAATCCTACCGTCTGTTTTTGAGGTGTTTGTAGTCTAAGAGCACAAAGAGAAATATACACCTGAAAAGACATGTGGACATTTTTTTCTTTTTTTATTGCTTAGAGAGAGAGGAAGGGAGAGGGAGAGAGAGATAGAAACATTAATGAGAGAGAACATCGATTGGCCATCTCCTGCATGCCCCCCACTGGGGATTGGGCCCACAACTTGGACATGTGCCCTGACCAACCTCATGGTGCATGGGTCAATGCTTAACCACTGAGCCACACTGACTGGGTCATTTTTTTTTTTTAATCCTCAACCGAGGATATTTTTCCATTTATCTTCGGATGGAGGGAGGAAGAGGGAGAGAAACATCGACATGAGAGGGGCATATAGACTGGTTGCATCTCGCATGAACCAGGGCCAGGGATGAACTGAAACCAAGGTGCGTGCCCTTGGCCGGAATTGAACCTGGGTCTCATTGGTCCACGGGCTGATGTTCCAACCCCTGAGCCAAACCAGGTAGGGTGACATAAGATTTATAAATAAGTCTCCAAAAGTACAAAAGGCACAGTTCAACACGCCACTGGGCTGATGGCCATTCTGCTTGTGTCCTCCCCACCCCTTTCCGAGTTTCCCAATGATGATCCTAAAGGACCAGTCACAGATTCAGGAGTTATTTTCCCTAGTGTGTTTATTTATCTATAATCTGACTTTTCTTAGGCCCTAGGTTTAAGAACCGGGGTTGAAAGTCAAGGCTGCCTATCGCTGTAAGAAGCGGATTGGGCTTGCCTAGAAGTTGGACAAGCCATGGTCATCCCACCCCTCCCCATAGTAACCGAGAAGCTGGGGACCCAACAGTGGGTATGGGACGAGAACGTTAACACCATGTTTCATGCTGCTCCCCTTTGTGGCTCTTTACAGCATGGTGCCAATGAAGATGCTGTGGATGCGGAGAATCGTAGTCCATTGCACTGGGCAGGTACGTGCCAGGGGACTGCTGGGAAATGGGGCTGCAGGGACTCCAGGGTCAGAAGGGAGGGGAGGGTAACATTTGGTGGAAAGAGCAGTGCTGATAACTAAAATGGTTGGAGGGGACGTTGGCTCATGATCGGAGTAGATGTACTTCCTGCTTCCCTTTAACCCAACCATCCCTCGACCCTCCCAGCCTCCTCTGGCTGTGCTTCAAGTGTGCTCCTGCTGTGTGACCATGAGGCCTTCCTGGACGTCCTGGACAATGTGAGTATCAGCTGGACCACTGTGCAGTGCCCTCCACAGGAAGGCTGCTGCTCTCTCTGAGCCGGATTGGCTAAGTCTGTGACCAGGGGTTGTGCAGCACCACCTTCTCTTCCCACACCCACCCCTCCTCTTCACAGAGAGGTGAAGCCTTATCTTCTGGAGAGCTTTGAACTCTTCGAAAAGGACTACCTAGTCCCAAGACTGTTTTTTTTTTTTTTTTCCTGGAGAGGTGTGGGGAGGGGAGTTGGTAGGATTGTGTCAAACCCCTGGCTCCCCTGGCTTCTCATTAACCCTCTTTCCTCAATCTGTGCAGGGTGGACGTACACCCTTGATGATTGCCTCGCTGGGTGGCCACGCAGCCATCTGCTCACAGTTACTGCAGAGAGGTGCCCGGGTTAATGTCACGGACAAGGATGACAAGTGAGCATTGCCCATCTTCCCACCCCAAACCCCAGATCCAGACCTGACCCCTCTAGGAAGGAACCGCTGAGCAAAGCGTGTGAGAGGGCAGGTTGGCCTCTGTGTTCCTCTCTCCTTCCTTCCGAGCGGTGGTGTAGAAGAGTCTGCCTGCTGCTTCACTGCTTTCCTCTCGAGAAGTTGAGGGAGTCTTCCTTATGCTTTTATTTTTTATTTTTTATTGATTTTAGAGGGAGAGGATGGGAGAGGGAGAGAGATAGAAACATCGATGAGAGAGAACATGGATTGGCCGCCTACTGCATGCCCCTCACTGAGGATTTGGCCCACAACCTGGGCATGTGTCCTGACCAGGAATTGAACCGGTGACCTCTTGATGCATGGGTCGATGCTCAACCCCTGAGCCACACCAGCCAGGCTCCTTATATTTTTTATTCTGCTACTGTCACCGTACTCTTCCTCATGTAGATGACTCTGGAAGTAGAATCAATACCTCTGGACGCATTTGTTTAATTTACTGGTTTTCAAATTATCTTCTAAGCACTGGAATCCTTTTTTTCAATAAAGAATTTATGCAGAACCTTAATATATAAAGCAGAGCAACCTGAAGCCCTTTCCATTGCTCCCTGCTTCCTGATGCTTCAGCTTCAAGGAATGACATTTGCAAAGTTCTGGTCGGCCTAATGCTTTGTCACTGGCTGGTGTTGGTTGGTGGTTCTCCTGCCCACACAGAGTGAGAGCTGATCCTACAGGTGGACTTTCTGGAACCAGGACCCCTGGATTTGGGGGGAAAGATTATGCTCAGATTTGTCCTAACTCACAGATCGGCTCTGATCCTGGCCTGTGAGAAAGGCAGCGCCGAAGTGGCCGAACTGCTCCTGAGCCATGGCGCGGACGTGGGGCTTGTGGACAGCACGGGGCACGACGCCCTGTACTATGGTCTGCGCACACAAGACCAGGCCCTGTGCAAGCTGCTGCAGCAGGCCATGCACTGGCGGCGGGGAGGTAAAGCCAGTTCCCTTTTGTAACTTCAAGATGTTCCTTGATAGCTCAAAGAGGCTTCTTACAATCCATTTGTCCCCATGGAAATAATCCATCTGACAAATAATTGTCACTTCAGTCAAGAGTTGACTTATTTATTGCTGCTACTATGAGGTGACCCCAAATTCCCAAAAACATGGTCACAAAGTTTCTTAATGAAGCCTTGTCTCTCATTACAGGCAACTCTGGTTAGTACTATTGCTGGTATTTCTGAGCTGTAACTGCACATCTCTTGGGGTGGTTTCCCAGTCAGTCTCTCTCCCCTAGTAGACTGTAGCCCCTCAGATGACAGGCCCTTTCTGTTTTGTTCACCATTAATGTCCTGGTGCCTACAACAGTGCCTGGTACAGTGTCCAGTAAAGGAGTGAACAAAACAGATGAACTGGCATATCCCTGGGATAGGGAACCAAGGTTGCTGATTGAACAGGAGTGGCTCCTGGCTTCAGGGAGACATGCGTAGTAAGGGTTATGACACTGAGGACCACTCGTCTTTGCTCTCATTTTCCTCATGTCTTTTCATATAGGTCAGGGGCTAGTTCAACACCCAGATGTTACATCTAAGGTAAGACTCTGAGTGCCTCCCCTTCTGACCCCCCCCAGGCCACCCCACTGGAATACCTCCCAGGCAGTGATTCATGGGGGCGTCAAGATGGTGTAAAAGAAGAAAGGCCCTCCTAGCTGCCTGGCTTGACTTCACTGTTCTGTTTTCTACATAGGCCTCTCCATCTGAACCTCAGGTGGGGTCTCCACCTACGAGCGCACAGGGAGCAGAGCCCAAAGAGGAGCAGGAAGAGGAGCATGAAGACGCATCCTCAGAGGAGTGGAGGGGGAAGTATGAAGAGGGGCAGAGAAAGGTTTCTCAGCTGGAGCAGGAGCTGGTACAAAAGACAGAAGACTGTAAAGCTCAAGCTGCAGCCTACCTGGGCCTGGAGAACCAGATTCGAGAACAGGTGCAGGAGCTGGGGCTCCTGCTCGCCCAAGAGCCCAGAGCTCCAGGAGGGCAGAGTTCTAGTATCCGTCCTGGAGGAGATGGCATGGAGCAGGGTTGTCCCCTGGACCTGCTGGCTGAGCGCATACAAGAGCTAAAGAGGCAGCAGCAGGCAGCAGCGGCGGCCACAGCCTTAGCTTCCAAGAAGACTGAAGATTCAGCCCCAGGGAAGATCCATTCTGAAGCCGGTGGAAGGTCCCAACCAGAACAGGAGCCACCCCAAAACCCGGTGTCTGAGATAAAGGGGAAAGCCACAGGACAGCAACTGACAACTGGTGGTGGACAGGCCCTGGGCCCTGATCATACTGACCAGCTGCATGCCGGCCAGAAAGAGAGGCTGCAGGTCCCAGGGGCTGAACCAACAGACACAGTGGCCGAAGTGGTGGGCACAGCAGCCATGAACCAGCTTCTGCTACAACTGAGCGAGGATCTGGCTGCCGTGTGGAAAGAAAAGGATGCAGCCCTGGGGGCTTTGTCAAGACCGGTCCTGGAGGGGGTTCTGGGGGCACCTCGGGCTGAGGCTGCAGCAGCTGCCAGGGAGAAGATGGAGGCTAGGTTGGAGCAGGTGCTGGTGAGGCTGGATCGGGCAAAGGCGGGACTGCAAGAGAAACCTATGACCCCTGCCCAGGAGCCTAGAGAAGGAACCCCAAAGGCAGGCTCAGGAACCATCAAAGAGGATGAAGGGAAGGAGGAAAGGGCTCCTGGGACCCCTGCGGAGCCTACGGGGACCCCTGGCAGGGAACAGATGCCTGGAGGAGGACTGGCAAAGGGACAACTGGAGAAAGAGGTGTCAGCACTGAGATCGAGCAACAGTAACTTGCTAGAGGAGTTGAGGGAGCTGGGGCGGGAGCGGCAGCGGTTGCAGGGGGAGCTGCAGACCCTGAACCAGCGGCTGCAACGGGAGTTTGTGCCCAAGCCAGTGGCACAGGTCCAGCTCCAGCAGTTGCGGAGGAGTGTGGGGCTGCTGACAGACGAACTGGCCCTGGAGAAGGAAGCCACCGAGAAGTTGCAGAAGCACCTGGCTTCCCAGAGCAGTGGCCTCCGAGGGCTGTGGGACTGCCTGCCCCCAGACCTGGTGGGCAAGGGGAGTGCCTGTGGCTCAGGTACTGAGCCTCTGGAGGAGCTGCAGGCCTGCGTCAGCACCCTGGTAGCCAGGCACTGTGAGGCCCAGCAGGTGCTGGCTAGGCTGGAGAAGGAAAACCAGCAGCTGCGGGCATCCCCGGCCTCCTGTCAGGAGCCAGGCACCTCATCAAAGATGCCAGCTTCCCCTGAAGTGGCCGCTTTAGAGGAAGACTTGGGGAAGCTGGAGGAAGAGCTGCGGGCCGTTCAGGCCACAATGAGTGGGAAGAGCCAGGAGATCGGGAAGCTGAAGAAGCTTCTCTACCAGGCAACCGAGGAAGTGGCTGAGCTGAGGGCCCGGGAGGCCGCTAGCCTGCGGCAGCATGAGAAAACCCGGGGCTCGCTGGTGGCCCAGGCCCAGGCTTGGGGCCAGGAGCTGAAGGCTCTGCTGGAAAAGTATAACACGGCCTGCCGGGAGATGGGCCGGCTGCAGGAGGCTGTGGCGGAGGAGCGCTGCAGGAACAGGGACCTGGCTGCCAGGGCCGCCGAACAGGAGCGCCAGGCCAGCGAGATGCGTGGGCGCTCAGAGCAGTTTGAGAAAACAGTGGAGCTGCTGAAAGAGAAGATAGAGCGTCTTCTGCGCGCTTGCCAGGACAAGGAGGCCAAGGTGATCAGATCAGGCAGCGGTAGGGAGCAGTGGGCAAGGTTTCCTTGGGGTTTGCTAACCTGCATCTACTTTTGGTTAGTCAGATTAATACCTCCAAACAGAACATCCATCATTTGCAAGGACCACACTTGGTTCTCTGAGTCTAAGGTGGTTTGGGGTGAAGATGGGAGGTGAGGTATAAATAGAGGAAAGAAGGGGCTTTGGTATTAAAATTTGGGACTCTGGGTTTAGAAGCAAGGTGGTCAGGGCTACCACCTGTGGAGTACTATGGTTTATTAGCACTTTGATGTAAATCATGTATTAGCCTGAGAACAGGTCTGATAATATGGTGGATCGCTGTGGTTCTGCTAGGGTTCTGAGGATGTGACTCAAAGGCTGATTAAGAAAAGTAGATAAGCCCTGGCAGGTTTTGCTCAGCGGTTAGAGCATCAGCCCATGGACCAGAGAGTCCTGAGTTCGGTTCCTGCTAAGGGCACGTACCTCAGTTATGGTTTGTCCCCAGCCCTGGTTGGAGTCGTGTGGGTGGCAACCAGTTGATGTGAGACACATCGATGTTTCTCTCTCTCTTCCTCCCTCTCTCCTTCCCACTCTATCTGAAGATAAATGCAAAAAGTGTTCTCAGGTGAGGATTAAAAAAAGAAAAAGAAAAGTAGACTAAGCTACAGGTCCATTTCTCCCCTCCCACTTTAGCATCTACAAAAGATTTCCATTGGCATAGAGAGCACCAATGCTAAGAAAACAAGTTTGAAAACCACCGTGTTAGATACCCGTTTCCTAACAATTGCTCCAAAACTGACTCCAGTCTACATGCTTCCAGGGGCATGTTTTATGAATTGAAAAAACAAAACAATTTACAAATGAATCTAGCAACTCTAGAACTTTACCTGTGAAATGAATTCAGACTTCTCATTCAAATTTGTGTACATGATCAAATATATGGTTCAGAAATACAGGGAGCATATAAATACTCAGCATAAATTTTTGAAAATGGTAAGTACGCAATCAGTTATTTTTTTTTTACTCTTACTCCCACCATTCCTATGACCGCTGGTTATCATTAACCACATTTGTGCCTGAGCCCCACAAACCACAAAACTCATCTCCGTTTCGCTCAGTGCTCAGCAGCCAGAAGTAGTTCAGGATCCAATGCAGAGTTAAGAGCATGGGCCATGAATCTAAAAAGATCTTGGTTCAAGTCATATGTCATCACTTATTAACTATATGATTTTGACAAATTATTTAACTCAGGCTCTTTATCTACAAAATGTGAACAATAATACTTCCTTCAGAGACGTGGTGTGCTTCTCAGAACAGAAGTAGAGCTGTTTTGAGTGTTAAAGGAGACGAGGTGTGTAAAAGCATCTGCCACATAGTACATGCTCAGCGAAAGGAAGCTGAGCGTGACCCTGGATGGTGGTGGGGTGGGAAAGGGCTTGGGCCTCACTGGTTTCCTTTCCCTTGGGCTTCAGATCAAGGAACTGTTGAAGAAGCTGGAGCAGCTGTCAGAGGAAGTCCTGGCAGCTCGGAGAGAAAATGCTTGCCTCGCCTCACAGCTGCAGGCATGTTTTGGCCCCTTGGGAAATGGCCACGGCCGGGTCAGAGGGCGGGCAGTACAAGGGTGGTGGGAGACAGTCTGGCCATCGCAGAGACCTGTTCAGGCAGTGGTCCAGGCTGGGCTAGCGACAGGCCAAGGGAGACGGTCTGGCCCAGCTGATCACTTAATTTTACTATTCCTCATGCGTGGGGGATCACGGTGAGTATGGGAGGTAGGTAGGCACATAACCCCCCATCGATGCTCACTCCCAGAATTCTCAGAAGAACCACGAAGACATCATCTCTACGTATAGGAACCATCTGCTGAATGCTGCTCAGGTAAGCATAAGCGGAGGGAGAGTTGGGCAGGGACTGTTGCATTTGGGGTCCCTTTTCTTACATGTACAGATGTGTCATTTCTCAGAAAGCTAGACTTGAGATGTTCCAGTGCCAGGCCTCTGGATTGCCTGAGGTAGATCAAGAGAAGTTGTATGTGAATGTGACGGGGGGAGAGGTGTTTGTCCCCCCTTTTCAATTCCCTGATCCATTGGAAAGCCTTTTCCTGTCCCTTATGCCTTTTCTCAGTTCCCTCCTAGGCCAGCCTATCCCTCACCAAGGAAGACAAGGTGGTGGCTTGCTCCTCCATTAGGAATAATAACTACAAAGAATCTAACACTTATTGTGTAGCTGGTGCTTTGTTTCAGACTCACAGCTGTAACCCTCACACATTCCTGAAAAGCAAACATCATTCTCTTCCTTGAAAAGATTAGGAAAGAGCCAAGGAGAGGTTCAAAACCATTTAAGTGAGGGCTCATAGTTAGCCAACAGCATTCCGCCATGCCACAGAGCCATTCCCTCACCTGTCTCTCTCCATTTTCTGTTCTTCATCTCTCTTTGTTTCTTTCCTGCCCCCCACAGGGCTACATGGAACAAGATGTATACAGCACACTGCTGCGAATCCTCAGCCTGCAGGAGTGAGGCGGCACGGGCCCTGAGGGGTCTGGGAGTCCTCTCCTGTGAGTTGTGGGCTGAGGCTGATGAGGGAAGGAGCTTGGAGGAAGGACTTGGGAAAGGAGGTTTAAGGATGGGAATTGGAGTCTCCTTTTGTCCCAAGTGGTGGCTGACACTGGGGAGTCCTGTGGGCCGCAGAGCATTTGAAGTGAGGTTAACTGAGAAGCCACAGTGTGGGGAATCACCAGGTGGAGTTAGGAATCAGTGACCAAGTAGCCTGAAGGAGGCAGACACGGGATGGAGCCTGAAAGGAGGACCCGAGGGACTCTTTCAGGGTCTGGGACAGAGAGACACCAGTGAAGGATGAGTGGCAGTGGGATGGTGGTACAGAGTTGTTTCCTAGGGTAGGGCTCTACCAACTGCAGCATCTCTCCTTTATTCCCACACCATTCATTCAAAGACCAGTCTTCTCCCATTCTTTTCCCCATCCCTATGCTGATGGCCATCTTCTCCGGTCCAGATAGATGAGGATCCCCTTTAGCATGTTGGCATGGGTGGGAGGAGACTGAGGATATGGAAGTATGTGCATTTCATCCTGGAATTTCTTCTTTCAGGAAACAAGAGCATCACTGGCTGCCAGAGGCTCCATCAGGCTGTAGTGGGTGGGTGGGGACTAGGGATGGTGTGGATGAAGCTTCACCTGGCATTAGGGACCCCAGACTTGAGAATGTGAACCCTGGAACCAGCACGGATGAAACCAGAGGAGGTATGGATCGAAGCCAGCTCTGTGGAAAATAAAGCAGGAGGCAATATGCTGCTGGGTGTCATTGTTATTTCTGTTTAAAGAGGAGTCGAGGGAAGAATCTTTTTCATCAAAAATGTTTCCAGCAGTCAGAAAAAAAAAAAGGAAGGGGTGAAGGTAAAAAAAAAAAAAAGGCTCCATAAGCCAGCAGCTTTCAAACTTTGATTATGATCCATAGTAAGAAATACATTTTACATCCTGTGTGGACATAATTGAAATAGTATGTACCCTTGCTATTTCTATTCTCTGCTATTATACTCCACTGAAAAAAATATTGGTCAAAATATACCCACTGATGGGTCAGGACTCAGTTTGAAAAACAGTCCTCGCCCTGGCCGGTTTGGCTCGGCGGTTGGAGCGTCGGCCTGCGGTACAGAGAGACCCGGGTTCGGTTCCCGCTAAGGGCATGTACCTCGGTTGCAGTTTGTCCCCGGCCCTGGTTGGTCGTGTGGGTGGCAGCCACTTGATGTGTCCCTTCACATCGATGTTTCTCTCTCTCTCTCTCTTCCTCTGTCTCCCTCCCACTCTATCTGAACAAAAAAATGGAAAAATGTCCTCGGGTGAGGATAAAAAAAAAAAAGAAAAACAGCCCTCTGTGAAAATGGGGATTTGACATTCTTCCTTTCTCCTCAAATCTCTCTCTTACTGACGGACACAGCTCTAATCATTTTTCTCTGCCTTGGGACTCCCGAGCCCACTCAGGGGGAGGAGGAGGAGACATTGAGCGATGTGGATTTTCTTTGCGATGCCCAGTGTAAAACGTTCTATCATGTGTTAAGCCATGTGTTTAGATTGGAACAGGAGCAAAGAGGTTTGAAAAGTCTGATTCCAGGGAAAGGGATGAAGGGACACTCAGAGTTGGCTTCTTCCCCATAGTTCTGTTCTCAGACTGAAAAGGTATCTCTTTTGGCCACTTCCCATGGGTCTCCTCTCCTTTCTGTCCACTAGCCAGATTGCTAGGTGAGAGTGACACAGTGGAGCCCTCCAAAATCTGGAATTTCAGTGTGGTGGCCCCACAACCATCCCTCCCCATTCCTTCTCTCAGCCTGCCCCCTGCTGGATTATGCTGGGTCAGTCAACAGTGGTTTGGCAGTAAAGAGACTGGGCGGAGAGAAGAGCGGGGAGGGGCTGCCGTGGAAGAGGGGGCACACAAGGGCCGCACAGGGGTTGGCCAGAAAAAGAGCAGTGTAGGTCAGGTCCTAGAGAAGATGAGTGTCAGCTTTGGGGCTGCGTGAATGGGCTCAGAGAATGGAAACAAGAATTGATGTAGAAAGGGGGGAGGTGCCGCTGCCAAGAGGAAGAGCATCAAAAAGGTCCAAGTCATTTCTGTTAAAGGGAAGTAATCTCTCTTCTCCTTCCTGCTCTCAGAGTTACCAAAGAATATAAAAGAACTATTACATTTCTTATTACATATGGGGTGTGGGGTGGGAAAAATGAAGAAACTGCTGAGAGATGGGTCCAGAGAGGGGGAGATCATTTGGCTAAGTTCTAGTATAAGTCAAGAAACAGCTTCAGTAATGGCAGCTAGGACTTTGGCTCCCTCTGGGGCTCTTTGAAGCTTATCCCAGAATGGCTGAGCTATAGTAATGGTCAGTGATGGTAAGGTTAACACAAAAGTAGAACCTTCCCCAGCCCCTGGTCTTCCCAACTTCCCTCTATTTTTATTTTTAATCCTCACCCGAGAATATTTTTTCCATTTATCTTTAAATAGAGGGGGTGGGGGGCATCTATGTGAGAGAAGCACATCAATTGGTTACCTCCTGCACGACTCCGCTACTGAGGTACATGCCCTTTGCTAGAATTGAACCCGAGACTCTTTGGCCTGTGGGCCAATGCTCTAACCCCTGAGCCAAAAAGGCAAGAGCCCAACTTCCCTCTATACACCCCTATAAATTGCTACCTCAACAACTCAAGCCCTGTAATTCTTGATTTCATAAATGAATCTTTCCCACAGTAATTATAGTCCTAATGTTCCCCCTTCTTTCTGGGGTCTCCATTTAATGGGACTTCAGTAGGGGCTTATACTTTTGTTTCACTTCCCCCTCATTCCCCAATCTGCGGATGTAGGAGTTTATGGGTGAAGCTTGGTAGGCCATGATGGGGTCCAGACTGTCTTTGAACGCCCTTAGTATGAAACTTGGGCCTGACTTGCAGTTTCCCTTCTTTGTCTGGTAACATTAATTTATTAAACTGATATTTAAAGAGTCTACTATGTACCAGGCACTGGGGATAGTGAGTGAACAGCACCATAAAGGTTCCTGTCCTCATGGAGCTTGCATATAGGATCAGATTCAGGTGTTTGGCTCCTAGTTTTCTAGTATCCTATAGGGATGCTAGAACTTATAACCTCAAATAAACTATTAAAGGAGATCCCTCCTTTATGAAATCAATAGGAATCAAGGTGAAGTTAACTTTCTCTTTTATATTTTTATAGCTTTAATGAGGTATAATTGACATACAATAACTGCATGTAATTAATGTGTACAATTTGATAAGTTTTGACATATGTATACACCCATGAAATTATCACACAATCAGGGTAATGGACATATCCATCACTCCCAGAGTTCCCCAGTCTCTCTCTTTCTCTTTTTTTAAATCCTCACCCGAGGATATTTTTCCATTTATCTTTAGATAGAGTGGGAGGAAGGGAGAGAGAAAGAGACAGAGAGAAACACTGATGTGATAGAGCAACATCAACAGTTGCCTCCTGCACAACCTGACCAGAGCTGGGGACAAACCGCAACTGAGGTACCTGCCCTTGATCAGAATCAAACCCTCAACTCATTGGTCTGCGGGCGATGCTCTAACGGCTGAGCCAAACCGGCCAGGGCTCTCTCTTTTTAAAAAATCCTCACCTGAGGATATGCTTTTCATTTATTTTTGAGAGAGGAAAGGGAGGAGAGGAAGGAAGGAAAGAGAGAGACAACAATGTGAGAGGGCATGGGTTGCCTCTGACATGTGCTCCACGGGGGGATGGGACCACAAACTAGGTATGTGCTCTGACTGAGAACCGAATCCACCACCTTTCAGTGTACTGGAAGATGCTCCAACCAACTGAGCCACAGTGGTCAGGGTCCATCTCTCTCTCTTCAAAAACAACAACAAAAAAATCCTCCCTATTCTCCTTCCTTTGAAATTACTGAAAATTCTAATACAAATTAGTCCATCGTTAAGTTTTGACCCAGAGGAATGAACAGAACAAAAAGTGAGCTCATGGCCTGATGAACACTCAAGTGTTATAGAGTAGTTGGAATTAGGAACCAAATACTTGAACTTGAGTTTAGCATGAAGTCCCACTATTGCTGGCAGCAAAGCAAAAACCCAAGTGTCAGAAGAAGGTGCACATCTTCTCTAGGGACAAAATCCACTAAGTAAAATAAATAAATAAATAAATACATAAAATCCACTAAGTCGTTGGGTGTGGTCCAGTTCAACAGGTACCTGGGATATTGGTAGGCTGGCACCTTCAGACCTTTGGCTTGATTGGGGTCTCATGGGGAGGAGTACATTGAAGGTTTAAGCTAGATGAGAGAATTATTCCTGTTATTTATTAAAGCACTTTTTGTATGCTGATTATAAGTTTAACTGTTTTGTCACTCACTGCTGCTAGATTGAGAACTGCAAAGCTTTTATGTCTCAGCACCTAACAATCTCTGAACATCATTCAAATATTTATTGACCAAGTACATTATCATTTAGGTCTCGGCAAACTAACTAGAACATGCTCTATTTGCTGCCAGTACCTAGTCTGGGTAAACTGCTCTAAAGTTGGAGCTTTCATGAGACCTGCATGTGAGTGATTAGCTCGGTTGAGAACAGGGAGTCTGTCAGGTCCAAGGCTTTGGACCAAAGAAAGAAAGTAGTTCAGAGAGAGACAGAAAGATGTCTCTCTTTTTTTGAGATAAGAAAGCTACCCTTCTGTTCACCTTCAGCAACCCCAAAGGTGTGGGCTCTGTCGTGTCTTTGGGGGAGAGGATGGGAGGCCACAGGAAGGGTTAGGGCTTAGGTGCGCTTTGTGTTCCAGCAGCCCGGGCTTGTCCTCCGGGGAGTCTCATTCCAAGCTGGAACCTCCGGACGCAGGCAGACGCCCGGTCCACACCGTTCCATTTCCAGCCGCCGCCACCGGCGCGGGGGTGAGCGCAGGCAGAACGCCGCGGCCCAAGAATGCCCACTCTCCAGACCCACTCCCTGGAGGAGTTAATCTCTCCGCCAGACTTCCAGTCCCTCCCTCCGCGGCCCAGATTCCGCCCCCTCCCCTTC